AGCCTAGATATCGTGGATTCTGGACTCCTTGAAAATTAAAATTACTAACACCGTTTACCTCGATGAGCTCCTTTAAGAAGTTTTTTGGAGACTTCAGTCAGTGACCACAAACAGGCATCTAATTCAGCACCAGGCCACGGGTTCTGAAATGCTTGTTCACATTTCCTCTGCCAGGCAGGACTGATAAATCCCTAGGAAATTTAAGCATACAAGCACTTAAATTCAATTTTAAACTGTCAAATCACAACAACAGTCGCTTCAAGGTGCTCAATACTGAAAGGTACAGACACTGAAACTTTACAGAGAAACCCTAACAGATAACCTCCTATGAGTAAGGACTTGGCAACAGTGGGGAGGAAAAACTCCCTTTCAACCTTCATTTTAGATGGGAGTTCCTTTCCACTGTTGTCCAACCCGTCAGAAACAGGTCGCGGCAGCCATCTGCCATGACCAGTCGGGGCGGGGACCAGATAAAAGCTGCTGTGAAAGAGAGCCGTTGATGGTGAGTAAAAAAGGTAAGAGAAGGAGAAACGCTCAGTGCGTCTTGAGAGGACTCCAGCAGCCTAAGTCTACTGCTAAGTCCTACTAAGTGTGGATTCAAGGTCACACGATTCAGCCACGGCTGTAAGCTTTCAGAAAAAGGAAAGTCTTAAGCCTAATCTTAAAAGCAGAAAGAGTCTCTGTCTCCCAAATCCAAGCTGGAAGCTGGGTCCACAGACAAGGTGCCTGATACCTGAAGGTTCTGCTTTTAAATATCCCAGCAACAAGTAAACCTGCAATCTGAGAGCAAAGTGCTCCCTTGGGGTGATATGGTACTATACATCTTCCTGATGGCCACAATAAATGATGTGGCTCTCTGTTGTTTCACCCTGGATAGTGCTTCTGACACTCACTAGCACTTGGTCTCCTTCCCTCCGCTCAGCGTAGTCTCAGAGGCTAGATTTGGGGTGAAATCCTACATGCGTAAGTAAGAAGCTTCGTTGTCTTGATGTCAGTGGATTTGATCTCCTCCTTTGAGTGTAGGTGGCGATTGCCTTGATCTTGTTCTTCCCATTCACCTACTTCTCAGGACCTGCCTTACTCGCTGGGTTGTTGAAGCTTTCCCAGTAGCCTTTTCATGGTTCCCAATTGGCTATTTTGTAGCATGTAGTGTGTAGTGTGTTGCCTTCTGATAGACCTTAGAGGATTGCAGTAACTACCTTTCCTCTCTTTTCTTACTATTAGGGTTCTGCTCATCTTGTGTAGCTCTATGAATTCCAGGTTCCATGTGTGAGGTTTTGAGTCATTGGCTTCCTTGTAAGTCCAGGTTGGCCAGTCTGGTCTTAGTCTTACAACCTACCAGTTGCTGAAGTTTGACCCTTACCCTAGAACCTTCTGGTGTCTCCTTTTACGTTACTTTAAACTTTGCTTTTTTCACCATTCTTAACATTATGCACAATGAACAGTGTTGCATATTTTAATAGTATGTGATTTACAGTAGGTAGGCTAAAGCGCTTCAGTCATCTCAGAGACGGAAACAAAAAAACGTTGCTGATGACTACTTACAGATTTGCAGATAAGGTAAAAAACACAGTTTGATGCTGTCTTTGCAGCCAGATGTGAGATAATGTGGTCCTCGGCTTGGAACCGGTTTACCTATGGAAAAGGTAATTAAATCAATTATTAAGATAACTTTACGTCTTTACTCCCCTGAGCAGTGGTAGCACTTACAAGGTGCGTGATGAGATCCATGTCTTCAAGCAATACTTTTAGGACCTCCGCATAATAAAACCTAACGTCTGGATGCAGCCGCTGAGACGTCAGGTTGGAAGAAACCCTCTCGAGGAAAGACATGCACGTGCAAGTCAGCTCCGCACTGTTTTCACCGCAGTACTCTGAGGGGGAACCTTCTCTGCCTTTCCCGTGGACAGGTCCACAAAAGCCGGAGTATATTACGCTCGCTACATCGGCAGCATTTTGGGGGGGACACGATCCCGCAAGAAAGCATCTGTACGCTCCCGTCAAACAGTTAAAAAGCCCTGTCATTGTGGACAGGTCGTCTTTACAACTCATATTGCCCTCCATTGCGCTGCTACTTCCGCGTGGATCTCCCATGTGATATACACGGAAGTAGCCCTACAAAATACGTAAAGCATTACCAAAATAAAACAAAAAAGTCTAATAAATGAAAATATAACTTTATATTGTTGTTGTTGTTTTTACATTGTGGGAACTATATAATAGTGAATATAATACTAGTCATTTATTTACTACAATGACCATGTATTTATATAATGTGTCTAGTTTCAGAAAGTTCATTCTGTCAAACTGGACGTTTTCTGTAGGAGAAAGGTTTCTTCATCCAAACCACTCCTTTAATCTCAGCTGACTGCAGAATAATGATGGAGACCAGCTCCACTGACTAACAATGGGCCGCGAGGTTAGTTTTATGATCATTAATCTGCAAATTGATTAATCAGAATAGCATCATCATATATGCACGTTTCCTTGCCTTTCTGATTTATTTTAAATTAATCGCATCCTAAAATACAGTTTCATACGTCTGCTTTGCAAATGGTAGTTCTTGCCGTGCTTGGGGCTGTGGAAATTATACTTATATTGTGAAAGTCTGCAGGCGGAAGTGTTATTGTTTTTGCTGATGGAGTCACGCTGGTGAAGCTCTTCGCAGCCACTCTTTGATTAAGTCTTAGTGTTGAACAGTTAGATTATTCTTGTCATTGCCTACAAAGATATGGATAAAAGTTTGACACTAGCTTCTTTGTTTAGTGTTGTATTTGTGCTGAAAGTAACGCAATAATGCAGCTTTGACAACTTCAATCGTTCCGTATACCTGAAAGCTGATTGGCTCAGTTACACGTCGGTTCAGCGTCTGACAAGTAAGTCTTTGTTTTATAGAGCTGCTGTTTTGTCAATAAAGGCGTAGAATTCCTTTTAATATCCACACACGCTGTGTTTGGGGGTTTATTTCTACCCAATTATAATAGTGTAAAAAGTCAAATGAAGCCAAATAAAATTAGAAACGAGCGAATGAGTTTGTTAGCTTTCTGGCTAACTAGCTTCAGCTAACCTTCTAAAGAAACGTACAGCCGTAAACCGTGGGTTATTCTAAAAGGATCTACTTTCGTTACACTTTCTGGGGTGGTGGAAATGAGCTATCTTCACCGCCGAGCTTTTGTAAGTTATATCTGTATACTTGTGCGTGCTTTGTATTATTGGTCATGTTAGCAAATAAAGCCACAGTGTTGTCTATTGTTTATCATAAACGAGTTAAACTAACGAGCCAAACTTTTAAGGTTTAAGGTAATGACAGATAGTTACGTTTTCATTCATTTGCAAAGTTTTCCCAGGTTGGCTAAAAATAGTGAAATTAGCAAGTTTACCTTTGGGTAGTGTATATGCATATCATTATTTTTTTGTATTTAACTCTCTGGTTATTACTATTGTTTGGCTGTTGTGGTTTTCAACAATAAATGGTGTGTATCCATAATGAATTGACTATGCCCGTTAGTGTTCACAATACTCATTATTGCCTCTAATCTTTTTTTGATGACTGTGTTTGTGTGCCACAGGGAAACAGATTCTCAGCTCTTCACAGTGTGCACCAGTACATCTGCAAAGCAGCTCTGATATGACTGAAAGAAGCCTCTCTCTTCAGCTGGTCAAAAGGTACATTTTAATATCTAAAACATTAGCTTTTGTTTCTTTTTTTAACATCAACATAATTTCTCCCAACAAGGAAACCAAAAAAACTTGCTAGACCTCTTTATCAAGTAATGGTTAAGCCTTTGTTAGCTGAAGCAAAAAAAGTGACTGAAATTCCACTGTTGTGCCTGAACATACGTCAAACATGTACATTTTCAGATAACTTAATTTATAATTACATTTTTGGGGGGAATATATACAACTTTTATAGTTTTGCCTCTATATTATTTAAATTCCAAGTTTTCTGCTTTCAAATTCAAATTTTATTTGTCACACACACACAACCATACACAGTATGA